TTTGTGAGAGAATTAGTTTTGTTAAGAAAATGTTTTTTGTTTTTTGATTTTTTTTAAGTAGGATCCACATCCAGCATGTAGCCCAATCGGGGGCTTGAACTCACAAACCCTGAGATCAAGATCTGAGCTGAGATCAAGAGTCAGACGCTTAGCTGACTAAGCCACCCACTAGACCTGAAAATGTTTTTGAGTAATAGAATTTACAATTACTACATGAGGGAATGCATTTTGGTCAGTTATCTATACATAAGGTATAGTACTTGTCTTACAATGAAGAAGTAGATAAAAGTAGGTCTAAATACTTCAATTTCTTGATTCCAATTTAGCAAGAAGAATTCAGAATATTTATGTTAAGCATTATAAAAATTCCCTGATAGATCATTTTTTTCAGTCCATAATGGAAAAAGGTCCTTTAATTCCTCAACCTAGGAAAGATGACTGAGCACTAGTTATCTTCATCTGTCTTTTAGTTATCGCCATTGGGAAGTTGTTCCTAGTGTAGATAATGAACAGAAAACTTTCTTAGAGATATGGTTTGCCTCTAATTTTTCATCTCAACTCAACTGTCAAAAAGTCACTAATTTCAGTTTATCAAAATATGTTATAAAACCTGGTAGGAATTATATTTTACATAATAAACATTAGAAATCAGGAAATTAGACTTACTAGTTTTTATATTTTATTTATGTTACCTTGGTTTTATGTTAGATTGATCAATTATTTTTAAATGTTTTATTCTTAGAACATTTTCCATTATGAAACCAACATAATCATATAAACAATTATAAAATAGATAAAAGAAAATAAAAATTCCAATGCTCTAATATAATCATTTTTAGCATTTTCTTTTATTTCCCTATATTATTTTTCTTTGTATATTTTACTTAGCCATAATCATAATGCATGTAAAATTTTACATCCTGCTTTTCTTAAGCTAGTAGCACGAATTTCTTATTAGTACATAGTACTAGTACATAGTCTATGATTTTTAATAGCTGTATAATATTTCTTTTTTATTTCTTAAAGATTTATCTCAATTAACTATTTCACAACTTTCTTCTCCTGTATTCCCTAACTTAGTGAATGGCAGCCTTAATGTCTAACCAGACACCTGGGAATCATGCCTGCCTGCCTACCTACCTCCACCCTTCAAATCAAATCCATTAGAAAAGTCTAAATATTCTATTTTCTCAGTATAAGGGGAATATAGCCATTTCTCTCCATCCATGCAGCTGCTATCTCAATTCCAGCCACTATTTTCTCTAGTATGAATTATTATAACAACCTCTTAACTATCTTTCTGCCTTCTGTCTTGCCTGTCTCAAATCCATTATCTATTGTGCAGCCAGGGTGATTCTTCTAAATGACAAATCTGAGCAGGATATTTCAGGCTTAAAATGCTAACCAATTCCCCAGTACTCTCAGGGTAAAGTTCAAACTCTTTAATGTGTCACAAAAGGCCTTCCCTGATCTGTACCCTGATAATCACTCTAGCCTTATTCCATCATTCTATTCCTTTTACTTCAGGCTGTGGTCATAATAAAATATTTTGCAATTGTCAAAATGAGCCCTTGTTACTCTGGACATTTGCACATGTTATTTCTTCTACTTGATTTACTTTCTTGCTCTCCTGTCTACCTTTTACTTCTAACAACTGATAATTCTTTAAGATTAATTTGAGATTAATTACCATGTCAAGCAAATCTTTGCTCACACAAGGAGGATTAAGAAGTTCCTTCTATGGGCTTCCATTAAAGCCTGTGCTTACCTCTTTGCCAGCACATATGATACTCTATTGTCCTTATCTCATTACAAGTCTGTCCCCCATAATCAACAGTGAACTAATCAGGATCTAAGATTACGTTTTGTCTCTCTTTATTTATATTCCTGAATTATTGAGATATAATTGACATATAGCATTGTATAATTGTAAGGTGTACAACATGTTGCTTTCATACACTTAGATATTGCAAAATAATTACAATAGCATTACTTAACACCTCCATCAACTACATATTTACCTTTTGTATGTGTGGTGATAAACATTTAACATCTATTCTCAGAAACTTTCAACTGTATAATTCACTGTTGTTAACTATAATCACCATGGTGTACCTAAGAGTCCTCAAAACTTTTTCACCTTATAACTGAAAGTTTGTACGCTTTGACGAATATCTCCCCATTTCTCCCAGGCCCCAGCCCCTGAATCCACCATTCCAATCTGTTTCTACTAGTCTCTAAGGAAGAATCTGTTTCATGCCTTTCTCTTGGCTTCTGGTGTTGATAGCAATCTTTGGTATTCCTTGGCTTGTAGATTCATCACTTCAATCTACATCTCCATTATCATATGGCATTCTCCTTGTGTATCTCTGTGTCTCTCTTTCTCTCCATATAAAGACATCAGTCATAGATTAAGGGCCCACACTTCTCCAGTATCACTTCATCTTAACTTAAACTCATCTTAATTACATATACAAGGACCTTATCTCCAAAAATGGTCATATCCTGAGGTTTCAGGAAGCGCATGAGTTTTGGGGAAACATTATTCAATCCAATACAGTTTGTTTGTTATCATTGTTATTACTAATTGGAGATTGTTATGAACAAAGAAAAGAAAAAATAGTAATGAATGGAACATTTTAAATGCAGTTGGAAGGAAGAATACTTAACACATTCATGCAGTTATAATACCAAACCAATAATTTGTCCTTCAAAAAAATTAAGGAACACCTCAACCACACTTCATTCTTGAACAAAATTGTCTAACACTCCAAATTGGCTCCAAGTTAATGAGATTTAACTGAATTTCTTTTCAAAGCTCATTTCATCTTAACATCCTTTAATAATTACCCTTATTCATTTTTAACAGCTCTACTGAGTTATATTGATATACAAATAATCACACATTTAATGTGTACAGTTTGATAAGTTTAGACATACACAAACACCCATTATGCCATCACCACAAACAAGGAAATATATATATATATATTTCCAACACTTACCAGTGTTTTGTGTCCCTTTGTTGTTTGGGGCTTTTTTGTGTTAAGAACATTTTACAAGAGATCTACCCTCTTAATAAGTTCTGAAGTGCACAGTACCATATTGTTACCTAACTCCTACAACTTAACAGCCACAAAACAAGTGACTGAAAATGGGCAAATAATTTGAAGAGACATTTCTCCAAAGATGACATACTAAAGGCCAATAGGTTATAAAAAGATGTTCAAAATCACTCATCATCAGGGAAATGCAAATAACAACAATGATATACTACTTCACACTAGTTAGGATAGCTATTACCAGAAAGAAAAAAAAATGTGTTGGTAAGAATATGGAGAAATTGGAAACTTATACACTGTTGGTAAGAATATAAAGTGGTGTAACCATTATTGAAAAAGTATGGAGTTTCCTCAAAAAATCAAAAATAAAACTACCATATGATCCAGCAATCCTACTTCTGAATATATATCCAAAATAATTGAAATCAGGATCTTGAAGAAATTATCTGTACTCCCATGTTCATTGTAGCATTATTCACAATAGCCAAGATATGGAAACAATCCAAGTATTTACTGACAGATGAATGGATAAAGGAAATGTGGTATATACATATAATGGAATATTATTCAGCCACAAGAAAAGGAAATCCTGCCATTTGTGACAATATGGATGAACATGGAAGACATTATGCTAAGTAAAATAAGCCAGTCACAAGACAAATAGTGCATGAATCCAAACTCATAGAAGCAGAGAATACAATAGTGTTGCCAGGGCCTAGAAAATGGGGAGGTTGACTGGATATAAAGTTTCAGTTATGCTAGAATAAATAACAGTAAAGCTCATTCTTTATGTCCATGTAAATGAAAGAATACAGGTTGAGAATTGTATGATATTTAACTAGTGCAAAGTAGAGACAAGTTTAGGGTTTCCAACAAATATTTCATCTCTGATTCATTGGAAAAATAAAGTTTCCAGAGCCTTTCTTTCTTCCATTAACCTTGCAGAATAAAATGTGCCTTTGAGACCGTTTCCCACCTCTCACTCATGCAAAAATATGAATAAATAAAATGTTTACTCTTAAAGAAAAATCCAGAGAGATGGAAGGAAGAAACCAAAGGAAGAATGAAATAAATACTAACTTCTGAATTTGCTTAATCATAGCATATAATTGTTAACTCCCAAATACAGGTAAGTGTGCTTTGATATACAATACAGTGGTAACTCAAAAAAAGAGGCACCAAACAAAACATTTACTTCTTTCCCATTATTATTATTTGCCTAGCACTGTTTTTTAATTTGATTAAGATTTATGTAAAAAAACGGTAATGTTTCCTAACCCCAGATTTTCCCATTAAAAATGAATGTGCATATGTCTGTGATATTTCTAAAATATGAAGCTATGTATGCAGGATGAAAGAAAACCAAAATGGCGGTATCTATCATAAGAATACATAAATTTAGTTATTTATTTATTTTTATTTAAATTAATATTTTAAAGAAACAGGATTTTAAGGGAATCATGAAGAGTTTTAGGGAATTGTAGAATACTCTCAAAACTTAGTGGTATAAAATAATCATCAGACCAGCATTATAGCAATCATGCAGGTTTAAAAATCATGAATCATGAGGAACTTACCAAATACAATCATAAAAAATGTTATTTATAATACATGGATATACTCATTTAATAGGTTTGGGAAAATGACTAGCTGTTAGACACAGGGGAAAATATCTAAGGGTTCCTGAATAGTTGAGAGTTGATTATATTTATATCATCCCCACCAAATAATCCTTTATGTTCTCCTGCATATAGTTCTAGGGTTGGCAGGAATCTAAGTCATTTGAATAATAAAAGTTTACTATATAACATAAAACAATTCTATGTGAACATAAATATAAACAAGTGTATATAAATGTGGAAGAAAAAAATCTCCACTAACAATAAAATGGTAATATTAATCAGTCAAAGAGATACTCAATATCTATGTCATACTCACCTTTTTTGAAAGTCAGTGTTGTTGACTTAGTCCTTTCTGGTTCTTCAAGCAACTGTAATCAGAGGACCTGAGTAATCAAAAATCATCATCTCAGCAACATAATGCCTCAGTGTTAACCTCTGAGTTCCTCTCCTACTTAATCCTCTCTTCTATTAGGCTGACATGAAAATCTGTGTGTGCCCTATGTTGACCACGGTCATATAAAGTGCTGCCAGAACAGTTTTCCCTGTCTGTTCTGAACCCCATGACTGTGTCACCCTCTGTAGATGGGTTTATACTTGATAAGTAGTGCCTGTATTCTATTTGCATACACTGACTGGTTCCTATTCACATCCTAAGGCCAGGAGGGTGTCTTTATTTGGCAAATACAACTTCTGGGGCCTGAGCAATAGCCCTAATCCAAGCTGCGATACCAGGGCCCAAATGACCATCAAATGCCCTATTCTAGTCCCTGCCAGCCTGTCTCCTGTAATTCTTTCCTGCTTCTCTGCTTGACATAAATGGTGAGGAGAAAGAAAGAACCTGAACAGAAAATTGGGGTGATGGACCAAATAAACATAATGGAGGCCTAGAAACTTTCAGTATAGAATGAAGAGTCTAAGCCAGCCAATCCAAGTTTATTCATACCTTGGCTAGCTTCACTCGGCTAGCTTCTCGGCTAGCTTCACTACCCAAGAGATCAGTTGGAAGTGAAATATGCAGTAATATAGAGTATCATTTAGTGCAATTCCTGTAGCAAGGAGATCCAAATCAGGTTTATAGAATGTGTGACCAGAGGTAGGGAGTGGGATTGGTAAGTGGCCAGGTGCCTTAGGAAATTAGAAGAAACAGGGTAAGGATCTAGACCCTAGCAGAGACTTCTTCAGAAAGAATCAAGAGCAAGAAACTTGGACATACAGTTATTCAACCTGACTTGCATTAACAAAGGGCACTTGGGTTTAAATCTTCCATGCACATTAGGAATAGAAGCAACAAGGTATAGATCTCAACAATGAGAACGGTATTTTTTTTTATTATGTTATGTTAATCACCATACATTACATCATTAGTTTTTTTTTTTCCTTAAAGATTTTATTTATTTATTTGGGACAGAGAGAATGAGAGAGACAGGGAGCACATGAGAGGGGGAGGCTCAGAGGGAGAAGCAGGCTCCCTGCCGAGCAGGGAGCCCGATGCGGGACTCGATCCCGGGACTCCAGGATCATGACCTGAGCCGAAGGCAGTCGCTTAACCAACTGAGCCACCCAGGCGCCCCACATCATTAGTTTTTGATGTAGTGTTCCATAATTCATTCTTTGCGTATAACACCCAGTGCTCCATTCAATACGTGCCCTCTTTAATACCCATCACCAGGCTAACTCATCCCACCCTCCTCCCCTCTAGAACCCGCAGTTTGTTTCTCAGAGTCCATAGTCTCTACTTTTAATATACTTCAGATAAGGTTCTCTCAAACTGATAGTGAATTTTTGGTTTAGTATTTCTACAGTCTGATATTTCCAAGACTTCCAAGCATATAGGTACAAATGAATATTAAAGATTGTAAGTACTATGTAAGTGTGGAGTAGGTGAAGAGTACTGGTTAATGGAACTCTTGCCTGAAAAGGTGGGACTCAAGCTGATACTTGAAGGATAAACAGGAAAGTGAAGTTGAGTGACCAGGGTACTCCACGCAGGAGGCAGATGATAACCAAAGCCCAAAGATAGGAGAAATTGTCCTCTCATTTCTGGGAGACAGGAAGAAGACCATTGGTTCTTAGATCTATCTGAAGCTTATTTACACTTAGATGACAGAATCCTGATGAATAAGCATTAATTAGTACATGATCTGGGGAATTCTGATGAAAAGGTGGGCTTATAGAAGATCAACTAATTTTATTACATTTAACTATAGCTTATCTACTATACACCATTAAAATGCAGTGAAAAACTGAGAATTTTTAAAATATGCAGATAAGAGACCAAAATGCATTTGTTTTGCTTGAATTATAAAGCTCAAAATTCAATTCTTCACTTGACTTTTATGATGATAGTGTTGAAAAGTGGCAGAAGGCAATAACATTCCACTAAATTGGAAACATTGAAAAAAAGAAAAAATCCTAATGGTATGCTCATTCCTAGGGCATATAAAATAGCAATAATGTCATATTTGGTCACATTCTCTAATAGTCTAAACTAAAAATAAAGTCATCATTTTTTTATTTTCTCAAAAATAGAAATCTTTCATAAGAGACTGTAATTTCAAAGTTAAACTATTCTGACTTCATAATACAGTCAAACACCTTGAGGACATAAATGACACATAACTCTCATAACCTATAAAACATATAAAGTGTATTGCTCTCATAAAAATAAAGGTTACAGTTAATAGGTTGCCTGTAGTAACGTGCTCAAAGGTTACTATAGCAACTCTTCTATGCAAATCAGCATGGGTGGTCCCTTACAACTCTCAGATGGTTGAAATAAAAGAAGAATTAAACAAATGGAAGATCACTGGACTTCTCAGTAGTCAGTATTGCTCCTTTGCCAGATTGTCACTAAATATCTGTAATGCACCAATTTACTCACCCACAGGGGTGTGTTATGGCTACTGGCATTGTTTTTCCTTCAGTGATGTGAATTATATAGCAGCTCTACCAAATTAATCTCAGAAAATTTGTTAATTGTTTTTGCCACTCATCCAGCTCCCAAAGAGAAAAGAGATATGACCAAACAATATGACATTAAAATTTTAAAGACAAATGACAAATCCCAGAGTAGTATAATGAACATGGATTCTATAACCAGATGTATCTGGGTCTAAATCATGCCACAAATTGCTTCATAAGTGATCCTGCACACATCATTCAAATTATCTAGACCTCAGTTTTCTACACTTTAGAATGTCAATAATAGTGTCTACTTAGCAATTGTGAGGATTCCATATAATTTTTATATAAAATACCTAGCCTAGCATATTGGTTGGAATACAGTAGGATCACTACAAAGTCTAGTGAATATGATTATTATCATAATAGATTTTCAAGGGGAACATGTATCTAGAAGCATCACTGCTTTAAATAAAGAGCCATCAAGTTATACACTGTTTTATCCTGGGGACATAATTTGGTGAAGAGTAAAACATTACCTCAGCCCAGTTGAAATCATCACATATTAATAATTCCACAGTGAAGTCCTTGCTAACACTGAATCCATCTAAAATTTGTGTGTCTATCTGCAAATACATAAATATATTATATGTGTATGTTTATATCTGTGCAAATGTATAAATATACATAAAATATGTATATATTTACATTTGTATATTTATATGTACATGCCATTTGTGTATGTGTGTATATATGTATGTAAATGTATATATGTATATGTATATATATATGTGTGTGTGTGTATGCGTGTGTGTGTGTGTACACAGGACAATGTTAAAATCCTTTCTAAGAGCTCTCCAAGGTGCTGACCCCAAACTAACCCCATCCTTTACTTGCTACTCTTCTCTGTTACAAGATGCCTACTCAAGTGGTAAGGGCATCCAACACCAGCACTGTTCCATAGAGAAACTTTCAATGTAAGCACATATTTTCCCACAGACATAATACCAAGATGTCAGAGAAACCTACTGGATACTTTTGGAAGCATTGCACGAAGTGTTTTGTAATAAATGAACACAAAAATTTTCCTATCACAATAGCCACAGATGAGCTAGTAATCATATAGAGAACATTGCAGTTTTGATCTCAGAATGACAGGAAGTTGAATCTGTTGTCAGAGTAATAGACTGTTACTCAAGAAACCACTGGACCCCATTCAATAAGAAAGAGAATGTCTTTCCTTCTTTTCAGATTTACTTTTCATTAGTGATTAAATCTAAATGCTTTCATTCAATGAAAACTTTACTGAATCCATAAGAATGAGCTCATCCCTACATGCATTATCAAATGGAAATGAATCTAAATGAAGTCCATCACAAGAAGTAGATCCAGAAATAAATGCAAAAATATAGTCCATATCTTCCTAGCCTGGAATAGCAAATTAATTCAAACACTTTCATAAATCAGACATTACAGTTGAAAACACTATTGTGAATGAAAATATAAATTCCTAAGGTACGAAAGATAGACCTTCTCCCTTGCATATCTTTCAGTTTAGAACATGCTTTGAGAGCGTCCTGCATAGGTCAAGACCTTACCAAATACTTGTGACTCAGTAGCAGTAGTAATAGGATATTAGTTGCCCATTGCTTTCTGACTACCTCATGTATCTTCTCTATGTGATTTATCTACAGTAAAGACAAGCATTATCTTAACTGCAATTTATTTTTATTTTTTCCCTTTTAGTCTTATCTCTATAAGAAATATTATTTCCAGATAGTTCTACTGTGTCTTTAAATGTTTATAACATTGTATTTAAAAGTGCCCAAAACTATTTGGACATCAATTTAAATGAGACATACTGAAGTAGGCTAAAGAAGATTTGCACATTGCTATTAGATCACAGGCTTGGAGGGTTTCCTTGAAGCTAGGATCATATGCTTATTCTCCATTTTCTAAAATTGTAATACTGCAATGAAAAACCATGAAGAAAGGCTTTAAAGCAGTACTGTGAATGGGTAATTAGTCTATGTCAACTACTGAGTATGGCCATAAAATGCATTTTTCCTCATGCAGCTGAACTGCATTTATTTCCTGAGAGAATCCAAGAGGTCAGATTCATTATTGTGAAATGGAATCTAAAATAGAAGCTCTATTATCAGAAGTCACTGCTCTGGTTATTTGTGGCATGGTTCAGATGGCTGCCAGCCCTCACAAACATGCTCTATAACATGCTCAGTAAACTATATCCCATGGTATTTCAGAGTTACCAAATAGCAGCTGACAGGGTCCACAGGAATACTAAAGTGAAGAGTTTGCAAAGATTTTCAAAAGCATCCTTTGTTGACTCATGGGGATCTTTCCATCACCTAGAAAGAAAATTCTGAAGGCCATGATAAATTTTACTTAGATGCAGTTTAAATAGACAACAAATGTCACAAAAGGCTCCATATTGCAGCAATAGTACTAGGTTACACCATCATATACTCCCCTAAGAAATGTCTGATTGTTTCAAAAGAAGCTGCCTTCTGGAGGCCTGGGCACAAGATCCAGTATGC